GTCATTTGTCCTAGCATACCCAGCCAGACTGTGCTAGACTTGGACACCCACACCTCTTGGTTCTCATGTGGCGTCCTTTCACTGTGCCACCTTTAAACATGTTTAGACAGTTCTAGGGGCAACTTGACTTCCTGCCATTCAGAGACCTCCTTGATCTATGACACCTCTCAAAATCAGCTCCCTGACCTTTGAACCAGTGTGTAATGTTTTGTATTTTCTTTCTTTATTCTTGATTGTAGTAATAGATGTATAACCCATATATATACCTTCTTGCTTTTTGGAGCTGATACTATGCTGAGTATGACTTTTCTTTGCTCAACTTTTTTAAAAAATAGAGTTTCTGTTATAACATTTTGATAACATTAAGTTTGGCTTGGAACAGTTTCTTTATCATGAGAAAAAGAATGATTTTAGTGGGAGCTTCGAGGGCAAGGCATATATAAGATACTTCAAAGAGAAGAGTAGTATAATAGAAGCTGCGTGAGCCAGTTGAGGTTTGCACAGCAGTTACTGACATGCACCTTTGGGTAGTGGTTGGTTGTGTTAGCAGTCCTATTGATGGAGAGATTCAGCAGTTTGCTGAAGTGCTCCAAACCATCTCTTACTACTGAATTACATAGTCTAAAGACCTGTGTAATACTTAGAAAAAGCTTCACATTTCCTTTGCATTTCTTTTTGTTGTTAGGAAACTCAATTAGATGTGTTTTTGCAGGCAACATCCAAGGTCTTTCCCTTTTTCCTTGGTGTGTGTAACCATGAGAGACTGTACAGGAGCATTTATGGCAGTTATTTAATCCAATAGGCTGAGATGCCAAGACCCTTGTTTTTTCAGTTGGGCACAGGCAGTATAAGGATGTACAACCTAATTGGCTAATACAAAGTGTAAATAAAGTCAGGGCACTGTCTTGTCTTATGAGACATGGATCATTAGACTTACTTTCTTGTGATCTCATTCTTCTACCATCATACCTTCTCCAATTAGTGAACTGCTTGTGGGCTCAACTTTATAGCTGGCTCTATCTGTAACAATTTCAGCTTACTATGTAGACTGTAGACTTGTCACAAGTTAAAAACTTAGGAAGTCTTTATAACTTGTCATCATTTTAGCACTTTAACTTATTAAAATACATGTTTTGATTATCTGATTTACAAAAATAACATAAAAATCCACCTATGGCATGTAATTGCTGAAATACTGAATAAGCGCTGCTTTTTATGACCAAGTTATGGAATGAGTAATTACTCTCTGGAGTGAATGGTTCAAAATGAAATAACTATATGCCTAAGGTATGATGTGACACCCGATGTATTTAAGTCCCAAAGGTATGTAATTATCTCACTACTTTTGCACATACACACAAGTACACTTATGCTTATGGCAAGAGTTTATGTGCAAAGGAAAACTCACTTTCTGACATGTAAAGAGTAGTCCATTATTTTTGAGGGGCTTAGAGGTTGTTTGGTGTTATAGTCCTGTTAGCATTTCTTCAGGGTATAATTTAAATTCATACATCACTGGATTCTTGACTAAACCAGTCCCAAAGTATGGATTTCAAATAGTAAGGATAATTTAGAGGAGTTTCTCAAAACACCAAGTTTATGATTTATAGTCTACCTCTGTACTGAGTAACTTGTTATATACCTCATTCTTGTTTTCTATTTTGATCGTCAATTGTATTAATTAAAGGCAATAAATGTTGTACTCCAACTTTCTACTGAAAATAAAAGCTCTTGTAGTTTACTTCAATTTTGTATACAGGTTATCTGGTCTCAGTGTATACATCTTTTTACAAAATATATTTATTTAATTTGCATATAAAAACAGGGGTCTAAGCCAGAGGTAGGGGGAGGAGGTGATGATTCACTAGAGACAGAGTGGGGAGCAGAACAGGCGGATCCACTGAAATACACTGCTGAGAGGAGTAGCAGGAGAGACAGGAGAGGTCTGCTGTGTCATGTGGGTTAGCTCCCTGGCTGGGGATTGAACTCTTGCTGCGGTGGCTGGTGATAGCTTGATAGTGCTTAGACTTTAACCCATGAATCACCAGGGAGGCTCTCATTCTACACATCTTTTTTTTTTTTTTTTTAAGATTTATTTTATTTGTACAAGAACTTGGGTATGGGTCAGAGGTGCGGGAGGGTGAGCGAATTCACTAGAGACAGAGCGGGGCCGCTGCTCCCCTCAGCAGTGTTTTTGGTTCATTCTACACTTCTTAAAGAATTAAAGATAATACCTCAAGCTGATTTGTTCCTTCTGCTTTTAATTTAGTTTTGAAATAATATTTTAAGCACATTAAAATGAAAATCATCTTTCTTTGTTCCAGTTCTGCTAGCCCTATTGAGTTAACTGTGCTGCTTTTGAATAGTGTAAAGTGATCAGGTTACATCAGTTTCCCCTGTCAAAGGACCAGATACTTCAGTTTGGGGATTTGGTTGGTAGTTATGACTTGACTCCCTGCTCACAAGCCCAGGAGATGAGAGAATTCCTTAGCCTGGGGACTAGTGGAGGCCCACAGTGGCTGCTACGTCTTCCCTTGGGCTAGAGAAAGGCAAGTGGAGGTACTGTTGGCTTTGGGACTTCAAGTAAAATAGCAGCGATGGTAGCTTACATGTTTACAATGGGATTCTCTTGAGAGCCTTTTTCGTTTTAATATATTAGGTGGCAAGAATCAAATGTTAATTTAGTTTGTAACTAAGTTCTTGAGAACAGTACAAAGGTTTAAAGCTTTAAATTATTAAATATTCACAAGTAATTTTTGAAAATAGCACTGTAGCAGGACATTACCAAATGCTGATTGATCAGTGTTCTCTAAGAGACTGGTGAATTTCTGTTCAACTGTATTTGTGAAGTCATTAGCCAGAATTTGAAATGTGACTAACCTGAATGGAGATGTGGTGGGAGTTTAAAATATGCACCAGATTTTGAAGACTGAGTGCATTTATTTTATGATGTAAAATGTATCAGTAATTTATTGAAATAACAGTTGGTGTTTTAGGTTAAATGTATTAATCAATTTCACCTGTTACTTTTGATAACAGTAAGAGTGTAATTTCATAGAAAACTTCAGTGGATTGGTTATATTTAAAATGGAGATTTTATTTCCAGATAAAGCATACAATGACTGCTAAAATATTTTACTTAAAAAAATAATTTCTTAAAAGCTTATTGGCCTCTGCAATAATAAAAGAAAAATGTCTGAAAGGTTTGACTTTTCATGTGAAGGCAGAAGGGTGGATTTCCTTGTGCTTTCAAAGTGCATTTTGGATTTTATTGTCTAGTGAAAAAAATATTTTAGGACCAATATAGGTTGGTCAGTTCTTTGCTTGTTTGTTTTTTACTATTTTGGTAGTCTTCAAAGTGTGGTCCCTCATTCAGCGTTGTCTGCATCACCTAGCAAATTTTAGAAAAGCACATTTTGGGGCTCTACTAGATGTACAGAGTGGGAAACTCTGAAGGTGTGGCCTACTATCTGGATTTTAATTAGTCCTTTACATGATTATAATATATGCAGAACCACTGGCTTATGCTGGTTAGGGCCTACCCAGGAGATGGAGGAGATGAAATAGCAAAATAGGATGGTGAGCTAATTTAGAGATTAACAACACCAGGGAGAGAATACTACAACAAGTTGGTAGGGTTATGGGTGTCGAGGAGATCGGAATCTCCGGGTAGGAGCAGGGCCCATGGATGCAATTCAGCCCTGCCTGAGGAAGAGAAGGCAGGAGAGATATTCTGGCTCATGCCTTCCTCCTACTTGCTAGTTCTCCACCAGTGCTTCCCATGGGCTGAACCTAGGAAAAAACCTGCAAACGATATCTGCAGTCAATTCTCCTGAGAGATACGAACTCTCAAAGAAAACGTCTGTGGGAATAGGCCCAGAACTGGCACATGTGGTAATTATACTTTAAAATGGACACATACAATCATTAAACTTTAAAATAAACAATATTTTGATATAATTTAAAAAAAATTAAAGGCATTTTAATACCAAAACAAAATCCTAGAATATTGCTCTCTTAAAAGAATAAATTTAGCTTTATAAAAACAAAAGTGTGTTTTTGTAATTTCACTGTTGGCCATGGTCATCTTTTCAGGGACCAGTATCTGTGAGTTTGGGAAACATTACCTTGTATTTTTTTTTTTTTTTTAATCCAGGACCTTTTTTAATTCCAAAGTTAACTCTTCCTATTTAAGGAGTTACCAAGCTGTTTGTGGTTGTTTGCGCCCCCTTGTGGCAGATATAGGAAGTTTGCTTCCTCAATTTCTTGACTCTTTTTTGGAACCTCCTGGATATTTTTCTTTTCATAGTCATGCTTTCATTCATTGCCTAAAGCTTAGTCCTACCTTTTTGTATGTCCTCTTTGACTCCACTATTTACATTTCCACCCCTTAATTTTCCAGCCTTTCACCTTTGTTGTTTCAATTGTGATTAAACTATAGCTGATGCAAAGGGTAATTACAATGGTGAAACTTTAACAAGGAAAATGCAAGTTTGTAGACTTTCAGAATAAAGCAGGTAGTACTATCTCCAGCCTTTTAAGCCGTTAGAAGGGTCCTGAAGATTCCCTTCAGAATCTCTGAAAAAGTCATGCATTGCCTGATCCATAGTGTCCCCTCATCCCCCCTCCAGGCACCAGGATTTAACTGTTCTTATTTGAAAGAGCATTGTTTTATACTATTTGTAACAAAGGGAAGCCTAAGAAACTAACCACAATTTCCCCCCTGGAGGAAGACTGTGGAAGACTTGTGTTCTGAATTCCAATTGATTGTCTTTGAATCCAATTATGTGTTTAATGGCCCAAAATAAAATCTAACATTTATAAATACAAATGAGTCTTGAATATATGTTCTTCATACATTTTAAAGATCTGACTGTCTGTAGGGTAAGGTAAAAGGTATCAGGCTTTTCTGCCCTCCCGCCATCAGGATAGATGATGGCGGGAGGGCAGAAAAGCCTGACATTTTTCCTTACCCTACACTGTCCATTCATTAACTTTCTTGTATTCACATTCCAAAATTTAAGAAAAAAGGTTGTAAATAAGTGAGTCACTAGTTTCATTTTAATTTTTCTGTGACTTCTTATATAATAGGGAATGTTGCCAGTGAAAACTTAGGAATGGAGAAGCAGTTCTGTTTCATGAGCTCTGGTGGAAGACCAGGGATATTTTGTGTCCAGGAGGGTGAGCTAGATGTTGCAGAGTTTCTTTTATTTCATAGCACACAGAAAAAATATTTTGTGTAGTACATGTAGATAGATTTGTAACTGTAGAAAAGCTTCTGTGGGTCAGTGTGTGAAGACTTCTATCCTGTGAGCTGGTGGCCCCCTTCTATAACAGATGCCCCAAGAATGGAGGTATCGATATATCTTAACAGTGTTCACTTTCTATATTGGGAAGTTCTGCTATGTGGAGGGCATTTAAGGGGTATTAAATCCTAGACTCCAGTAAGGATACAGGGGTAAATTATAATAGTATTGGCTTGGTGAAATGCTAGGAAAGAGTTGGAGAGGTTAGTTCTGATCGTGGTGGAAAGGATCTAGCAAGGGTTCTAGTGGAGGTGGGGCACGGGGGCATTTCATCCAGGGGAATTAGTTTTTGAAAGATAGAGAGCCAAAAGGCAGAGAATTTGGGGAATACCAAGGATTTCTGAGGTGGCTGGGTATGACATTTGGGGATACAAGTAGGAAGCAGTATAGTAGGAGCTACATTTAAGAAAGTTGTGTGGGTGTGGGTTGACTTCAGGAAGGCCTTTTATGTGACTGAATGGGCTCATGGTTGTGGGTACTACTGCTGGTTTTGCCTTGGTAGGAGACTTTTACCCTCCCCCCTTTAGAAAAATGATCTTGGGGCAGTATAGGATGAGCTAGAGCCTTCAAGCATATAGGTGGAGTGGGGGTGGAGGGGTAGGGAGAGACATTACTCTCCATGTCATAAGAAATAATAAAGGTTTACACCTGGTGAAGGGGGATTGGGAGGGTTTCCTGAAATGAGAACCTATGTCCCTCCTCCTCCACTCCCCCCCACCACCCATTCTGCTTATTGATGTGAAGAAAGAAGACTTAGATTTGGAGCCCAGGTAAAGGGACCATTTGAAAAATTATAGTCTGTGTAGGGGATAAGGAGCTTGATTTTGACATGTGTGCATTTTAAGATACTTGGAGAGTAACAACTGTGAACATTTATAAAGTGCCTTCTAGGGACCAAGTACTGATCTAATAAGCACTTTCCTTTTTTTTTTTTTTTTTTTAAAAAAAAAAACACAACTCAGTTCTCACAACAACCGGAAGAAGTAGATGTTATCAGTTAGTATCCAATCAGGAAAATAAAAGGCATTAGATGTTTTAAGCACAGAAGGATTTAATACAAGGAATTGGTCACAGTGGTGTTGGAGGGACTTGAGGAACAAAAAGAAAAATTGTGTCTTGGGAGGGGTATATGTTGGAGCAGAAGGAGAATGTATGTAGGTGAATGTTGAAGGAGCAAAAAGAAGAGGATATTGCATGTGACCTGACAGCTGCTGGATAAACTGCATGCTCTGTAGATTCACTGGTGGTCTTCATTGGTTCCGCTGCTTTGGAACCACCATAGATGCTGCTGCTTTTGGAGGCAGCACCAGAAATAGGAAGCAAAGGCCTTTTTCTATCATTTTGCACTTTCCTGCCAGTCTTTCCCTTGACCAATTATGGGAAGCTGTTTGGAAAGGGAGTTTGGAAAACATAATTTATAGACTTCTAGCCCCTTGTAAATAAAGAGATAGAGCCAACAGAATAACGCCCAGTGAGGCAGATACTATTTTTATCCTTACTTTACAGGTATGAAATCTGAGGCACACAGAAGGTAACTAATTCTCCTAAGGTCACACAGCTATAACTTGGCAGAATTGGGATGTGACTCCAGGCAGTCTGGTTTTCAGAGTCTGAGTTCTTAGCTTCCCACTTTGATCTTTCTTCCACACATGGTTATTGTTTGATTTTTCTCCCTATTGCTGTGCACTTCAAATGTGCAGGTGTTTCCATTAATTTTGCTTATCCTGCACTTATTTTTCTTTTGATATCCTCTTACTGGCTGCAGTTTCTTACCCCCACCTCTGGAACTTCTGTCTTCAATGTCACCACTGACTTTATAGCCACTACAATGGGTTATTTTAGTTTCTATTTCTCCTTGATCTATTTCTGGCTTTTGATACTGATACCATTTATATGGAATTCCACTCCTCACCACTGTGATTCTGACTTGTTTCATTTTCCCCATACCTTACTGAGTCTCCTTGGTTTTCTTAACTTGTCTTCGCATTCCTTAGATCATTATGCTATCTCTTGGCGTGGGTTGGAATTTCAGTATGTTATAGGAAGCTACTTAATGCTCACGTATATCTAAATCATGACCAATAAAAACCTCAAGCACAAGATACTTACGACCTTTTTTCTTTGTACGGATTGTGAAGTTTTAGAGGAGTCAAAGCAGGGTCCCAATATGGCCTCTGCCTTGGGCAAGGAGGAACAGATACTGTGGACTGAAGAAGGACTCACTGAGTACCTACTATGTGCTAACATATTGCTAAGTGCGCTAAATGCACTGCTTCATTTTACTTTGGTGTGAGATTATTTTATAGATGAAGAAACCAACTCCTCGTGATGTATTAGTAATAACTTCTGGGGTTCAAACCCTCATCTGACTGGCTCTGACAGCTGCGTTCTTCCCTTTGGACCACTTGGGGAGAAAAGCCCCCATGTTCGTATCTGTTGAATAAGGGAATTGGGAAAGATAATTTTAAAGACACATTCAGTACCACACTCATTCTCTCCCACACTGGTTGTCTTCAGCAGTAGTTACTTCTAATATTGAAAAAGGAAGTTGCCCTCTCACTCCGGAAATGTCCTGTTTTATTAATCCAAACAGTACTAACATGTTACTTGTAAGAGTTAGGAAGTAGGGCAAAGGCATTCAGAATAGTCATGATGATACATCTTCATGTAAGTTTCAAGAGAGCCCAATTACCTCCAAATGAGGCTGCTGCCCAGAACATTAGAAGCTGTGGCTTTTATTGACAGGGGCTCCGGATAATAGCTTTGGAACAACTCCAATCTAAACAAAGGGCAACCTGTTATTCCATTGTATTTTCTGTTGAGAGCATTTGCTTCCAGATTATTAAGAATCCCTTCTTTCCTTGCAGGAAACTCTGAGATTTGCAAGAAGATAGTGAATAGTGTAGTTCTAATTTGTTAAGTAATCCTCAGTACCTTCATTTCCATATTTATAGAGGTAAGGTTTTTTTGTATTTACACCATAGTTGAGTTTTCAGTATGATTTTTTTTTAATGGAAATAACCTAGAGCGCACAGTACTTGGTTAATAGCTCAAAACACATTAGCTACTATGTTATATATAAAATACAATTAATGATTCATAGTAGGCACACCATTTTTGAGTAGATAGTTAATAAATCCTAGAAACATTTCACTAAGTTAAAAATAATAAAAAATTAATGCTTGAAAGAGATCATTGGTTTAGTACAATAAGTTAAGATAACATTTTTTGAAATTGTTATTTTAGATACTGAGATTAGATACTGAGATTAGAAGGGGGAACAAACCCCTTGAGATAGGTGTGCCTTTGCCTTTCTTTTATGTTTGCCCCTGAACTTTTAAATAAATTAAACAGTCTGGGTTATGGCTTAGTATGAAGCTTAACTTTTAATAACCAGTTTGCCTTTTGGGCAAGAACTATGGGTTTTCTACTATGTGTATCATTAGATGAAATAACTCTCACTGCGGGCCAGCTACCAAGATGGGATATATGTCTGGTATGTCATCAAATAATTTCCCTTTGATCACATTGCCCGCACAAAATCCAAGCCTGTCAGTTCACTGATGTAGAGCTGGCATGTGGAAGAGAGGCAGGTGATCTGTCCATCACTCCAAAATTTAGTCTCTGCTCTGTCATTTAACAGCTGTGTGAACTTTGGCAATCATGTATTCTTTAAGATGCAGCATCATTATCTGTGATGGTGTAGTAATATCTTCTTTGCTTAACTTAAAATACTTGTTTGAATGTGAGATGGTTTATAATGTGTGAAGGAAGCAGCTGGAGAGAAAGGTCTAGATACATTTTAGTTATCATATATTTTCTATGAGATATCCCTTTAAAAGCATAAAGTGCTATACAAGTGTTTCTTGGTGGTTAGTGATTTAACCTCACTGATAAACAGAATGTATTGTAAGCTGCTTCTTCCTGTATTGTTCTACAACCTGAAGTACCCAGTGGTTTTAGTAATAAGAGTAGCAGCCCTGGTGAATCCCTATTGTAGAAATTATTTCATGTGACATTTAATTCTATCTAAAAGTCTTTGAACATAGGTATATGAAACTCAGGATGTATTCTAGAATGAAATAATTTCATCATTGGATCATAGTTAGGTACACTCTTGTGATTTGTCCTAATAATAAATGAGCATTCTGTGTTAACCATCATTTTGTATAATAAGAGTAAATTCTGTTAATCTTTTGTAATAAATGTGTATTTTATAGTTACCTAGCATTGAGTATTCCTGGCATCAGGCTTAGGAATTTTGGGGATTTGGGTGGACTTTTTTAGTTTGGTGCTTTGGGTAGCTTTACCTGTCTTTCTGAATTACTATCTCACAAAGGTATCTTTGGCTCTTGCTCTGCCTCTGTATGTCTGCTTATTTAAGGTGGTGATTTGTGATTATCCTGACTTAACAGGGCATTAGTTGTTCCCTTGTATACTTCCTCAAGCACAACTCTGTTTGCTTGTGTCTTCTCTCAGGAACTGTCAAACTAGTAAGGGAGAGACATTATTAAGATTTAGAATATTATTAAATATGATTTAAAAAAAAGATTTATTTATTTATTTATACAAGCACTGGGTACAGTCAAAGGCGCAGGAGGGTGAGAGAATTCACCAGAGCCAGAGCGGAGGGTAGAACAGGCAGAGTGACGAAGTACACTGCTGAGGGGAGCAGTGGGCAGCAGGAGAGGTCTGCGTGCCATGTGGGACCCTCGCCCATTGGCTGGGGATAGAACCGGCGCTGCAGAGGCTGCGGGCAGCTTCGCCGCAACCCAGCGCTCAACCGCTGTGCCACTGGGGAGGCCCCTAAATATGATTCTTATCTAATAATGTAGTAAGTTTTTTAGATTAAGCAAGTGGTGAGTCTTGCTTTTTCCAGCAAATATTTTGCCTAAGTGTTTAGGGTACCAGTTAGTTTTTTACTTAAAAACAGACAATAAAATGTTATAGCATAGATCACATGATGAAGCACCCCGACTTAAAACTCATAAAGCTTTCCATTGTATTTAAAGTAAAATAATGTCTGAAATAAATTTAATGTCCTTAGTAAGCTCACAGTCTTACTTATTTTTTTTTGGTAACTTCTCCACAGTGAAAATTGGACCCATACAACAGATTATCTGAGACATCCTTATTGTTGTACTATTTTTCGTTTTTGGAAAAAAGTGTTAAAGAATACAAATTTCTCGCCTTGTATTTTAAGTTGGCAAATGCTTTGTGAACCACCCATTTTTCAAAACTTTATTGGAAGCTAATGGGAAATAAAATCATTCTGTACTATTACATTAATCAATCATAGTCAGTTTCAGTGTTACTCCTTTTTGTGTTTTCCTGTGCATTAAAAAAGGTTTTCATCATGTGCACAATTTTTATACCCAGCTCTTTTTGGTTTGACACAGTATGAAACATTTTCATGACTTGTATATATAGAGTATAATTTTTTTAGTGAGCATGTATAATAAACCAGTGAATTTATTACATTTTCTATGACGGTTCTTTCATTTTGGGCGTAGAGGTTTCATTTTATGAATAACTGCCACTTGAACATCTTTGCTTATCCCCACTCATATTTTAATATTTCCCCTTAGTATAGGCTTCCAGAAGAAAAAAGAAACTGAAGGCTAAGGGGCATGTGGACCTTTTTATGACTCTTTATCCGTATTGCCAAATTGCCTGTAGTTTCACCTAACAATTACCCTCATTAGATGTTATGGTTTTATATTGTTGCCAATTTAACAAGTTACCAAAAACTTCCCAAAAGCAAGTTACCTGTTGTTTAATGTGGACATTTTGAGTTACTTTGGAAATTAAATATTTTCCCAAATGTTTGCTGCTTTATCATATTTTCTATTTCATGACTTCTATTCTTGTCCTTCTCTTCATCTGTTGGTAAGGGTTGACCATACAGAGGCACAGTGATGGAGAGCATGGGATGACATTGTTTGGAGGCAGATAACCCAGTCCATACCTGACGTAGGCACACCGGAGTGGTGAATGTTGGCAGGTATTGTTAGCTGCTGAGATTTTCCTTGATATTTTGGGACATTAGGAATTCCTATTGTGATTTCTTTTCTACATTTCAAAAACTTTCCTTCTATTTTTCTACTAGTTTAAAAAATTCTTCACTTTACCTAGTTTTATTTTATATTTTAAGCTCTTTTAAAATTGATAATTTTCCCAAGTTTCTATGCTTATTATGAAGACATTATAGACATTTCTCAGGAATAAAATGTCTTATGCATGTTATAAATTTTTAAATTGATCTTTTTGTATTACAACTAAATGTTTATAAGTTTGTTGGAATAATTATGTTGTTTTAATAATTTGTTGTTTTTACCTAAATTACTTGTAGAGAAAACCAGGACAGGATTTATTAGTATAGTAGCTGGGTTTTAGCATGGTGATTTGTTAGTTTAGCCTGTAATAAACAGTTTGATTTGTTCAGAAGTCGTTGGTGACATATTTATCTTTTTTTTTTTCCTGAAGGTGAGTTTTATATAGGAATCTGTACCTCAAAATCATGTGGCCTTGTGTATAGAGTGTCCAGGGAGCAATTAGGAGGGCAGTCTGTTAAATCTTTTGCCTCAAGGCAAAACCATTAGGTGTGCTGTATATGAGCCTCAAGGGGTGTAAATAACCAAACCAGTCATGTAACCACTCAGTTTCTTTTCATTTCAAGACATTTGTAAAACTTTTAATCTGTGCAAGAATCAGAGGAAGTTGACATATTGGATCCATAGATTATTTTCCCTTACCTGATTATTTTGAGGAAGTTTGATTTCAGAATTTAAAAATTACTGACTGAATACAAAATGTGAACTCTGAATTTCATTTTGATGTGAGCATCCTAAAATTGCTCCATGATTTGAATGTTAGTAGATCTCTCTTAATGTCTGCATGAAAGATTTTTTGATTAATTGTAAAGAGATTATCTTAAAAATGGATTGATTATTGACTTAAAATACTATATAATATTTAGGAGTATAGCCTCATATTCAAGTAAAGGTATATTCCATACCACACCCACCACAAAAGTTTCTAGTGCCATTCACCAGTGTCATATTAACACCCCCCCCAACCCACCAGTTAGTTGCCTCTCTCCTCCTTCCTTCATCTCTTCTTACTACCATTTTATTCTTAGTCTAAGACTTATTTTTGTTGTGTTTTTTTAGTTTGTTTGCTTTGTCATAATTATACTATTCGTATTAACATCATATACATCTTTTCATGTCAGTAAATGTGTATTAGATTATAATTTTAAGCGGGTGCATAGTAAGTATTGCATTGAATGGGAATGCCACAGTGCCTTTTTCTATTCCCTTTGTAATGAACATTTTAGATGATTTCTTTTATCCATTTATTCATCCATCTGTCCATCCATCCATCCACTATTACAAAAATTGCTGTAAATTCTTACACATAACATTTTTATTAACTTTTCCAAGAGTTGTATTGCTGGATCAGAGGGCACGTTCTAGTTTTCTGCCCTATGGAAAGGTGATCCCAGGCCCTATGCATTGGTATCCTTGTATGTAAATGCCCACTTTCTAACACAGTGAGAATCAACGATAGAGGGATGAGTTAGAAATGCTTAGATTGCAGTCTGATCATAGTGACTGTTACTGTTAACACACATGCTCCCAGGGCTTGAGAGCCCACCAAGCTTGGCCCACGGGATACCAGCAACACAGGAAGTGATAACACGACTTTATCTCCCTCAGTGACCTGTCATGAAGTCCTGCCCTGCCACCCATACACCACCTGAGAGCACCTTACCACCAAGACCACTGCCCTTACCTCATGAGGAGTGAGTTGATTTTCATCCACATTTAAAGCAACTTTAGAATCCTCTGTTCATCAGTTTCTTACGTGCACATATGTGTGTTTGTTAAGGATTTCCTATCGGCCCTCTTGCACAATCAGAAAGGCCATTCTTCGGCTTGGTTGCACTGCAGGGCTGTCTAGTGCAAACTTAGAAGAGCTCACTGAGTGAGCAGGAGGGTTGTTCAATGGGGGCAGAACTTAGATTGGGGAGGTTGGAACCATTCTGGAGATGGATGGAGATGATGGTTACACATAGGTGAACGGAGTTAATATCACCGACTTGTGTACACTTGGAAAGGATTGAAATGGTAACTTTTATATCATGTATTTTACAACAATTAAAAAGTCACATCCATTCAAAACAAAGATTTTTTGTTGTTGATTTATGAGAATCATCTTTAGGAGCAAATTTATGGATGGCTGAGATTTCTCACTACCTTAATAGACAATCCTCAGCATTCTATCTGGTTTCCTACATTAGTTTGGTACTAAAGGGTGCTTGTATACAATTCCAGTATGGGTATGTGTGGAGGCTTCCCCGCAACAGTATACAATTCTCAAGACACCAGCTACCTGTCTTTCAGTTTATTGATAACTCAAGTCTGACATTGTCTACCTAGAGATAATGCCATGTTCCACAAGGTAAGGGCTCAGTGGCTTCTACTTAAGATACTACCTGTGCTTCTGACTGATTGGCTACAGACTTAGAGGTTCTAATGACCTCCTCTTCGCATGGCAGATGTCAGTCCCAAACCCAGGTTATTACCTGTATGTCTGACCAACTAACTATAAATCAGGTGTTCCCACAATCCCCTCCTCAGGTTTGACTACTTTCCTAGCACCACTCACAGAACCCAGAGAAACCTGCTTACTCACTACTGTTTTGTTACAAAAGGATATAACAAAGGACAGGTGAATATCCACATGGAAGAGATACATAGGCCAAGGTATGGGGAAAGGGCAAAGAGCTTTCATGCCCTTGTCAGGTGTACCCCTGTCCGCAAATCTCAAATTTTTACCAACCTGGAAACTCTCTGAGCTCTTTCCTCTTAGGTTTTTATACAGTTATGATTTAAGGAAAAGTATGATTGATTAAATCACTGACTACTGGCACTTGATTCAGGGAGAAAGGGGTGTGGTAAGCAGTGAAAGTTCCAACTCTCTAATCACTTGGGTGGGTCTGCCTATAATCTACCCTCATTTTATGGTGCTTCCAAAAGTCATCTCATTCACATAACAAGTGATACTTTTTACGCTTGGGGGATTTCAAGTGTTTTTGGAGCTATGAGATAAGAGCTGTGGGAGAAGACAAGTGTGAGAAATATTCTTAAAAGTTATAGTAGTGCAGAACATGAACAAAAGGGAGGGGATTATTCCTTGTCCTTATGATGCTATTGTGCATAATAACTTTAAACATGGGCTTTTTTCCACCTTAAAAAAACTCCTTCGACACTAAGCCTTCCATTTCATTCCTTCCCTTAGTTGCCCATCTTTTGTTGTTGTTGTTGTTTTCTCTTTTTTAAAATCCAAATTACTTGCAGAAATGACTATCCTCTATTTCTTCTCATTTCACTTAATTCTGCCCTCTACACTGTTCTCTGCCCCATTATCCACTGAACTGTACCTGTTAAGGATACCAGTATTACTAAATTCAGTGGGCTCTCCTTATTTGACAGCTCAGTACTCAACAAAACTGATCACTCTTTCTTGTAACACAGGCTTTACTTGATTTACAAATTCATGCTCTCCTGGTTTTTCTTTTACTTCTCAGGTAACTCCAGTCTTGCAGGATCACCTTCTTTTACCCACTTTTCTGGACCCTCTTTCTACTCTTGTTACTCTCAAAACTCCACATACCAAGCTTCAATTTTTTTACTTCTGAATTCCAGACTGCAGTCTGTGTACTGAATGTCTTCACTTGCTTATCACATTTGTGTCCCAAACTTTTCCTTTTTTTTTTTTTAAAGATTTATTTATTTATTTATATAAGCACTGGGTACAGTCAGAAGCACGGGAGGGTGAGAGAATTCACCAGAGCCAGAGCGGGGAACAGAACAGGCAGACTGACGAAATACACTGCTGAGAGGAGCAGCTAGCGTGGCAGGAGAGGTCTGTGCACCATGTGGGACCCTCCCCGGTGGCCGGGGATGGAACCGGCGCTGTAGAGGCTGCGGGCAGCTTTGCAGCCCAGCACTCAACTGCTGCGCTACCAGGGGTGGCCCCAAACTTTTCCTTTCTTAATCTGTCTTTTCCTGTGTGTCCTCTGGTTCTGTCAATGGCATCATCGACTGATTTGTTGAAGCCAGAAAATCATCAGTGTCTTATCATTTATACCTTTTCGAATGTCTCTCATAAATGAATCCTTTCTTAATCATTATTGCATCTACCCTAAGTCCAACTGTCTTTGTTCTGGTTCATTTGCAGTAACTTTTTCTTTCTAAGCTTCCACACTACAACTAACTCACTATACTGTACCCAGACAATCTTTAAAAAGCAGCTAACAATAATTTATTTTCCTATTTAAAATCCTTTTAAGGCCAAAGTCTAAAATTCCAAGTGTTGCCTGCAAGACCCTTCATAATCTGGCCCTGTCTGCCTGTTTCTTTCATCTCATATCTTGCTCCCACCACCTTTCAACACAGAGAACATGTTTCTGTTTTGATATCTAAGGTTTATATCATTAAAATTTTAGGATAGGATACAAATGAATGTTTGGGCTTTAAAGTGTTGATTGTAAGAGTATTGTTCTTCATATGTAATTGTTCTTTATTCATGTGTAGGCAGCCAAGTTTATGCATATATATCAAATGAGATAGTGTATATTAAAAGTGTTTGTAAGTGTACATATTAACATAAAATATTGCTTCTACTTTTTTGTCCCCATCTGTCATTCTTTTTGCTTCCATCTACATGATGATAAAAAAATACTATACATGTGTTAATAATTTTATAGGAATGTTGGGGTGGAAAAGACATGACTTTCCAATTTGGTGTGTCTTTTGAGTAGGGAATTAGATAAAAAAAAATTTTAAAAGTGAACCATTTTGTTAGGAGTGATATATGCTCAGAAGAAAAGGTTGCTTAGAACCTGGTCTGGATCATTTCTATTGGTCTTTTTCAATTCTTCATTCCTGTGTCTTTAGCTTCCATTTTAAGGACGCATATGGTGGCTGTGGAATATTTCTCATTTATGTTTAATTTAAGGATAAATTCAGTGAATATGCTGTTTTGACAGTATTCTGGCATTCATATAGTCCTAGCTGCAGGAGGAGGAACGCTGATACCAAACACCCCCATTATCTGTGAGCAAGGCTATGGTCTTTTACAGTGGGGAGACATACTAATATGAAATATGAATGCCGAGGTTAAGTCAAGAATGCCAACCATTAATACACTGTGGAACAAAATTACAAGACATTTAAAATCATTTCTTAAACTCCCTTAATTTTCCTGTAAATTGAAAATGGTCCCCAATAGAATGCTAGCAGGATTTTTGGAGGGGATTTGGAGCAGGATTTTTGAAGTGCTTGAACAACTAATGCCAGAATGCATGTGCATACAATAATAGGAACATTCTGAAAAATAAAAGTAATGAGAAGTTACTTACAGCCCTATATTAAAAGATACTGTTAAGCTACATTAAATTAAAATTGTATTATGAAGGTATCTGTGTAGATCTACAGATCAATGAAATAAAATATGAAGACTGGAAATAGACCTCAGCACACAGGTACAAAACATTGTCATCTCCAGTAACTGAAGGAGGTCATTCAATATATGGTGTTCACATATCTTAAAAGCCACCTGGAAAAAAATAAAGTTGTATCTAGTATTCATACTTCCTCTAGAGTGAATTTTAAATGACTCAAACTTTACATTTAAGAAACAGTCAGAAAAGAGATAGAACTAAATTGGGGAGAATTTTCTTTACAAGTTGGAATGGAGGTTTTTCTAACTTTGACATAAAACTCTGAAGCAGTAAAAGATTCATAAATTAAACCTTAGAAGACAGGGTTCTGTATGTCACATGCTAACTCAAGCTAAGTCAAAAAATAGATTTAAAAAACACATTCAACCTCTCAGTTATATAAAGCAAATTTCTTTAATGTTTGAAACATTTCTGCAAATCAGTAAGAAAAAGACCAGCAATTCAATAGAAAAATGGGCAAAGGATATGTATGAAGATTTTACAAATGGAGATAGAAATGACTCAATCTAAATCTAAAGGTACTCACTTTATAACAGAAATGCAAAATAAAACTGCACCAGATACCATTTTAAAAAACAAACAAACCTATCACATTAATAAAAATAAAAATTTAATGCATTTTTAGCTAGGGTGTGGAGCTAGGCATTCACTCTTTGCTGGTGGGAATACAAATTGATACACTCTTTATGGAGGATTATTTTGACACAATCCATTAGAATTATAAATGCATACGTTTTTGATCCAACAGTTTCACATCCAGGAGTTATCTTTTGCTAAATTGAAATGAAGTAGTTTATTGAAGCATTGTTTATATATAGTAAAACATTGAAAATCACTAAAGTGTTCACTGTGGGAGACTGGGTAAATAATTAAATTATGTTCCATCTACATAGTGGAATACTGTGTAGTGGTAAAAAAAAGAATGATGAAACTGTACTGATATGGAATAATGAAATACTTTGTTAAATGAAAACTAAAGATGTAGGTTAGTCTATTTTATGCAGCATCTGAATTGAAAGGAGAATAAATATATAAACATTTATATATTGCTTCGAAAAGATTCACAAAACGATAACTTAAGTTGCCTCAGGGTTTGGAGGCAAGGATACCCTTTCTCGCTTTTCTTCAGTTTTAAGCCATAATGAAAATTAGAAAGATAAATGAAGAACAGTTTGGAACTTAACATTACATCTGTATAATCTTTAATCAATTCGGGAACATTTTTATTTCTTGCTACAGTTTCTTTGACTAGACCTTGTGGAGGGAATTCTTTT